TCTGGACTCCTGGTACTCGGAAATTCCTACTGGATTCCTAGTGGACTCCTACTGGACTCCTTGTACTGGACTCCACTATACCCATTCCTTAGGAATCCTTAATTCCTTGTGATTTGGGATCATTCCAGTAGGAATCTACTAGGACTCCAGTAGGACTGAGATGCAAAATTTGTATGGTGTTCAGGCAATATGAAATTGGCTGGAGTCCTAGTAGAATCCAGTAGGAGTCCGGGATTCCAGTAGGAGTCCGGGATTGCAGTAGGAGTCCAGTAGGAATAGGTGGGGGAGTGTAAAGAGCTCATTTGGAGGTGGATGTGGAATTTCGAGATTATGCAGAAGATTTAGTTTGGCAGGCCCAAGTCTCACAACAAGAAGAGGAACATGACACTGACCACACCCCATCCTCGATACAACCGATTCAGCCTCAGCCTACTGCTACCACAGTTGTTCCTCCATCTCGAATGTCGAGAGCTTGCAAAACTCAAATCACACTTCAAAATCTATTTAATTATGTTGTTGACAGTGCTAAAGGGGAAGGACTTGGCTTTTATTGGCTGGGGAGTGTCAAGAATCTTGAGGAGGACTTGCTTGCACATGAGTGCACAGCTGCCGAACTCCAGCCTGCTTCCCATCCCCTGACATTGTAAGGTGATTATGGATTGTTGTAGGGTAATCACTTTTTTGGTAATTAAAGCTGGTTCTTTTCTATTCTATGACTTGAACTTATTGGGGAACTCAAATGTGTAAAGCAAGCAACTTGAACAGGGTATGTAGCTGATAGAATTGGGCTTGTCAACGTCCAGTTGTCAGGTTATACAAGGCCACATTTGCACAACCCTCTTTGGATGGTCAGGCCAATATTTGACCACTTTATGGCCATTTTGTTTGCAAGCATTAGTCTTGTTGACATCAGATTTGGCTTGGGCAGCCATAGCTATAAGAGAAAAATGAGGGGATGCTTGATTAGTGGTTAAGGAAAATACTGGGCCCACTCTGGCATATACATACAGAACCATGAACTAGCCTTGCAGCTGCAAGTTGGTGAACTTTCTGAAGCAAATCTGCTGCACTAAGTGAATGAATGGCTATTAGAATTAACAGTAACCATTTGTACACCTGTGCATACATGAATACATGAAGCGAGAGATCATAAATGTGAGTAGTTGGAGTGAGCACTCATGAACATGAGTAGATGGCAAGGCTTGCTAAGCATATGTTGTGCTTTCAATGTGATTTGAACCTATGCCTTGGCCTTTTCCTGGCTTCTCAACTGTTTTGTGAGCTACTAGACGTGTCCAAGATTGTGTCAGAACCATCACTGCTCCCAAAAGAGTTGTCTGAGGAAGAAGGATAACTCGAGAAAGATTCTGACCAGGGTCTGCATGCACATGGGTGTGGGGTCTTCGTGAAATATTAATTTAATGTTAAGATTTGGTTAAGATGCAATGTTCCTGTGAAGAGACTATGGCATTACCCATGCTGATCACTAAATACATGAGTGTTAGGGCTAGGTAGAGCATTTTTACGTTGAGGCTCTCTGCATAAGATTGAAAACATCCAAAGTTCATACCTTACCTGGCATGCTCCACAGTTTTACTACTTGAAAGTGTGTTTTTCATTGAAATTTTTTGATGGTTGATTCTGCAGGCATTATCTCCGAAGGTTGGAAAAAAAATGAGCAGAGTAGCTCATTTCATTCTGCCAGGAGACACAAAATGCCTCCTGGGTGTATCACTGAGTGATTATGTAACATCATCACGTGGATGACTGTAATACCCAATATGAATAGTAGAGGGTCTTACCCTGTGTCACTGAGTGGTAGTGCCTTTTTCAAAGTTGGCCTTGTTTGTCCTGGCTCTTTCTGTCCCATCGACCTTTTTTTAGCCCAACAGTCTTCAAAGGTGGCCTTGTTTGTCTGCTGCCTTCCATTCCACTGGCCTTTTTTTAGACCTAGAGGCTTCAAAGTTGGCCTTGTTTAAGCCAGCCGTTACTGCTGACAGGAGAGGTCAGAAGTAAGACAGGCTCTCCTATTGTGGTAGCTCTCTCATCTTCTGATGAATCACACTAATGTACTGAGAATTTTTGACACAGGAAAGGTAAGTGCTTTACCCCTTGGGCAGAATATGCCAGTAACTGTGGACACTGTGAACAGGAATCCAGTGTATGCTGGGGGATGTTGTTCAACACAGGAGAGGACTACAACTTTATGTTAGTCCCGATCCTGAAACAACCTGGCATGAATAGCCTAAGCACAGTGGTTTTCTTTGGTACAGGCGCTCACTTCAGTCACCCACTACCAACTGACTATTAGTCATGCAAACTCCACGTAAGTTACATGACTAAATGTCATGGACCATATCTATATTCTAGATATATATGGGTCCTAGAAAGCCCTGAAATCTAAAATATATTCTTGACACATGGACCCTGAAATGTCACACAAAAATTATAATGTCTGTGTCACACCTCCAAAATATATTTTGCAAGTGAAATGCAGTCAGGATATATTTTTGGTGAGTGGACCCTGAAATGTTACTGTCACACCTTAGAAATATATTTTTGCCCTGTCTTGGCCTTAGGATATATTTTGTGAAACAAATGTGGTAAGGATATATTTTTCTGGTCTGTAGAGGTGTCAGGGGTCCTAGTTTCAGCAAAAAACTTGTGATTTTTTTGCTGTCTGGGGTATATATTCTGGGAGATTCTGCAATGATTTCCAGGGTTTTTGGCACTATGTCTGGCAAATCGACATCCCATCTTGAAGGTTCGACTTCTGCTTGTTTTGGAAGAGGGTGATACTCTCTTGTCAACTTATGATTGACTTCTTCCTCAGATGGGGACATGGTGATGTCATATGAGTGCTTCTTTATCAATAAGTTTGGAAACATCTGTAACTGTTGTCAAGACTGCACTGTGCTGCTATCTTGAAGCCATTTCACCACATCCCCTTCCATAACATACAATGCTGATCTGTCTAGCAAATTGACATCCCATTTTGAAGGTTCAACTTCTCCTTGGTTCGAAAGAGGGTGACACTCTCTTGTTGACTGATCATTGACTTCTTACATGGCAGTGTTATATGAGTGCTTCTTTATCAACAACTTTGGAAACATCTGAAATTGTCCTCAAGACAGCACTGTGCTGCTACCTTGAAGCTATTTTGCTACACCCCCTTCCATGACATCCATTGCTGATGTGTCTGGCAAATGGACATCCCATCTTGGAGGTTCACCTTCTGCTTGTTTCAGAAAAGGGGGATACTCTCTTGTCAAGTTATGATTGACCTCTTCCTCAGGTTAAGACATGGTGGCGTCATATGAGAGCTTGTTTGTCAACAAGTTTGGAATTGTCTGGAACCATCCTCTAAATAGTGCTGTGCTACCTTGAAGATATTTCGCCACACCCCCTTCCATGAACAACTCCATCACTTTGGTTTAGTGAGAGGAACATCCAGCTTTCCCCTCCAAATACCCCAACAACCAACTTGCCAGTTTTCCTTTTCAATGCTGTGTTTGGCAAATTGACATCCCACTGAGAGGATGACTTTGCTCAATAAAGAAGTTGAGTAAGTTCTCAAAGCTCAACCTAATCTACAGTGTAGTATGCAGTACTCAAGGAGTGGGGCTCAATAAGAGATGTTTGTTACAAAATATATTTTTTGCATCAATATCATGAAAGAATATTGTTGGAAGATATATATTTTGGGAGTATATATCCAGTCATCAGAATCAATACTACTGCAAGGTATATATTTGGCATACATACATTGTGGAAGAATGTATTTGATAACTAGATCTCGAACCAAGATATATCTTTCCACTAAATTCACTATATGCTGAATCAACATACATTATTTCTCAACTATATCCTATATTTTCCCACTACATTCTGAATCAAGATATATTTCTCAACTATATCTTTAACCAGGATATATTAACAAGATATATTTTTAAACTATATCTTGAACGAGAATATATTACCAAGATATATTTTTAAACTATATCTTCAACCAGGATATATCATCAAGATATATTTTTAAAGTATATCCTGAACCAGGATATTATCCTGGACTGGGACATATCTTTCAACTTGATCTTGAACCAGGATAAATTACCAAGATGTATTTTTAGACATATCTTGCAGAAGACAGAGAGAGGTGCAATTTATTGAATATAACTCCATGAATTTACATTACTACAGGGACTATTAAATAAAGGAACAAAGAGAAGGGGAGGGAGTGAGGGAGGGGGGGTGGGGGTTGGTGGGCAACAAGGCAGGGGGGAAAGGGGTGGTAGGCAATGATGGAGGGGGAAGGGGTTATAGGCAATGAGGGAGGGGTGGCAGGCAATGAGAGAGAGGGGGAGTGCTGGCCAGTGAGGGAGAGGGGCAGGGAGTGGTGTGCAGTGAGGAAGAGGGTGAGAGAGTGAGGGAGAGGGAGAGGGGAAGGGAGTGAGGGAATGGGGGAGGGAATGAGAGAATGGGGGAGAGATAGGAATGGGGACAGAGGGAGGGAATGGGGGACAGAGGGAGGGAATGGGGGACAGAGGGAGGGAATGGGGGACAGAGGGAGGGATGAAGGAATGGGGGAGGGATGGAGGGAATGGGGGAGAGAGGGAGGGAATGGGGAGGGAGTGGGAAGGCAGTTGTCGCCGTTTATCGGTGGTGTTGGTGGGCGCTCATCTTCGTTGGTAGGGTGGGCGCCCAGCGCGTCTTCATGGTGGTGGGCGCTCGGCGTGTCTTCATGGTGGTGGGCGCTCGGCGTGTTTTCGTCGTCGTCCATCCGTCGTTTGTTGGCCATCATCGTCGTTCTTCCATCGTTGCATGCGGTCAGCAGGCGGCATGCCCTTCCCTTTGGGGAGGGGTGACGTGAGAGGTGCTAGCTGTCGACCGCCCACTGGTGGAGTGGGCGGTCGACGGTGGTGGGCCTGTGTTAGTTCTATGCGCGATGATAGAGGCGGTGGGGTGCTTACCGTATTGGATAGAAAACGACGATGACGACGATGTCATCGTCATCATCCCTCGTGTCCCTTCGTGTCCAATGTAAAATGACGACGACAACGACGACGTAACCATCGTTGTCGTTGTCCCTCGTCCAGGTGCGTCGCATACTGGCCATGTTGCTCCTTCATAGACCTGGGGCCGTGGGGGTGTGCCGATCGTTGATTTCCGTGGGCGCTCGTCGATTTTCGTGGGCGCTGGTCGTCGTTTGCATGGGCGGTGGTCGTCGTTTTCGTGGACTTGCATGGGCGCTGGTCGTCGTTTTCGTGGGCGGCCGGGATCGTTTGTGCTGGTGGTGGTTACGTGATGTGGTATGCAGGCGACGTGTGTCTATTTTTCAAAATTTGCATTTTTTCATTACAAAACTTTGTAGTGTTCGGGCCTACAAAAATTTGTATTCTCCTCTTTTATCATTACAAAGACTTGTAGTACCAGGTTTTGAGACTACAAAAAATTTAGTTTCCTCTTGTTTCATTACAAAAGCTTTTACTGTCTGCTTTTTCATTATAAAATTTTGTAGAACCAGCTTTTTGAGACTACAATTTAGTAGTCTCAGGATCTTAGGACTACAAAAGTTTGTAATGAGGATATAGTTTAATGTTTTAGAGAAGGTGACTTGAGCCACATAGCTCTATATCATTCAGTCTTTGTACCCTCCATCTGACTATGACAAAGGAACAAAATAGAAAGACAGGACTCTGACACTGAGATGTCAGAAAATTCAACCCCTCCAATAGATGATTTCAAGATTGGCTACAGACAAGGAGTAGATATCTAGGTCATACTTAACCATAAATCTAGGGAGGGTACAAAGGTTGAATGATGGAGAGCTATGTGACTACTCTGAAACATTGAACTATGTCCACATGTACTTACTCAAAGTCAAGGACACAGTACATATCTTTGTAGTCTGAAATGTGGACACTACATTTCTAGTTCTAAGATCTGAGACTACAAACTTTTATTGTCTCAAAAAGCTGGTTTGAAGCTGGTTCTACAAAATTTCATAATGAAAAAGCGAACAGTAGAAGCTTTTGTATTCAAAAAAGGGGGGACTATAATTTCTGTAGTGTCAAAAGCTGGTACTACAAGTCTTTGTAATGATAAAGGAGGAGAATACAATTTTTTGTAGGCCCAAAAAGCGAACACTGCAGAGTTTTGAAAACAAGTAGTTTGCCTAATAGTGATACTTAATATAGTCACTACTTAGCCTTGTCTCAAGATCCTAAGTCACACAATGGCTTTGGGGTAAAAAGTAAGGATTGATTCTATCTTACTTTACAGACAAGTTAAATACATCTATTGATAATCTTAGAGGAAGGTTATGGAACCTTCTGCTATGTCCTTTGTTCTACTGTATGTGTTACTATGCATTGTTTAGATGTGGTTTTGTTTGGCTACGTCATGTTTGCCAAATCTTTCGTCAAACAACCACGTCAAGACTTGTCAAGACCAATGACTTCGCCGATGACAACCATGATGACCATCCACCATCGCAGACAAGGCACGAGGGCCCAGCAAAGCCACCGACGATTCGACATGAGCGCGCACCCTCCTCGCCCATTGACAAATGGCCACAAGTGCCCACCCTCCACTTCGTGAGCGCCCACTAGGATCCTCAGCGGGCGTCGACGAGGGCTCACAACCACACGACGGGCCAGTAACTCGACGAAGGGCGAAGAGCACCCATCCACGACTTTGTGAGTGCCCACGGCGACCATCGATGAAGCATGACGAGCCACCACGCCCATTGACGAATGGCCACGAGCACCCACCCTCCACTTCGTGAGCGCCCACGAGGATCCTCAGCAGGTGTCCACGAGGGCTCACGACCACACGACTGGACAGCAACTCAACGAAGGGTGAAGTGCGCCCACCCACAACTTCACGAGTGCCCACCACGACCTTTGACGAAGGTCGACGAGCGCCCATCCACGACTCCGTGAGCGCCCACCACGACCATCGACCGCCCACTCCGCCAGTGCGTGGTCACTGGCACCTCCCACGTCACCCCTCCCCAAGGGAAGGGCATGCTGCCCGTTGGCAGCCACGTCACCGTGCGACGCGATGCAAGGACGACGACGCGGACGACAAACGATGGACGGACAATGGCGAAGATACGCCGAGGACGACCAGCGTCCACACACCACCACCATCGACGAAGCACGACGGGCGCCCACTCACCAGTTCGTGAGTGCCACACCACCATCGATGAACGGCGACGAGCGCCCACTACCACACGAAGGACCCCACGAGCGTGGGACGACGATGACAACGAGAACATCGTCGTCTTTGGTTTATATTGGATATAGTAAGTACCCCCCACCTCTAACTCTATCACTCCCACCCAACCCCCTCCATGACTCCCTCCCTCTCTGCACTCTCTCCCTCTCTGCACTCCCTCCCTCTCTGCAATCCCTCCCTCTCTGCAATCCCTCCCTCTCTAC